GCAAGGAGTCTAAATCCTTCCATTCCCAGTCAGAGCTGAAGAAGCTTCTCGGAGGAGAAGCGAAAGCCCAGTTGCCTCTTGAAAAAAAATAAAAAATAAAAGCACCTTTGGGACACACACCTTAAAGGTTGCAGAGGTTGAGAAACACTGCACAACAGTGTTTATTCTTCATTGTGCCCCACAAACACCCATTTAATACGCTCCTGTCTGGCACTCGGAGGGCCCCTGGGAATCCCAAACCACTCAGTGGAGATCTGCCCATTTCACAGAAGGGACAACCGAGGGTGGCAGAAGGAGAGACCCAAAGGTGGACCCCCCAAAGCCCGCTCACTTGAAGGGATGGCCATCTTCGGATTTTTGCACAGCTTGGATGACGGACTTGTAGACCCGGAAGCAGATGGTGACGGAGAGCAGGGCCAGGATGAGGTACGAGACGACGCTGATGACGCTGAAGGCGGCCAGGGAGAGCAGCAGGATCAGGGTGGTGCTGAAGACGGTGCCCGTCTTCTTGACATCCCTCCAGAAGATCAGGTCTCGCACTGGGGAGGAAGCGGGAAGAGGGAAGAGTTAGCGGAGGAGAGCCGCGGGGGGGGGGGGGCGCAGGGTTTGGAGTTGCGGTACTGCAGGCGACTTCGGCTGCTTGCAATTTGGCAGTTCGAATCTCACCGGGCTCAAGGTTGGCTCAGCCTTCCGTCCTTCCGAGGTGGGTAAAATGAGGACCTAAATTGTTGGGGGCAAGAGGCCGACTCTGTAAACCGCTTAGAGAGGGCTGTAAAAGCACTGTGAAGCAGTATATAAGTCTACGTACCATTGCTATCTTCCTTCCTTCCTTCCTTCCTTCCTTCCTTCCTTCCTTCCTTCCTTCCTTCCTTCCCTCCCTCCCTCCCTCCCTCCCTCCCTCCCAGAATGCAGTATTATATGCTAACTCTGCCCACTGCCAGCAGTTCAATCCTGACTGGCTCCAGGTTGACTTCAAACTTCCGTCCTTCCGAGGTGGGTAAAATGAGGACCCAGATTGTTAGGGGAAAGAGGCTGACTCTGTAAACCGCTTAGAGAGGGCTGGGAAGCGCCGTGAAGCGGTATATAAGTCTATTGCTATCCACGATAAAATGGAGCGCAACAGCCCTGCAGGGGAAAACCTGTACCTCTAAATTGCCCAGCCAGATGGGCAGTGTTTAAATTTGAAAATAAAAAAATAAATAAAAACAAATTACAACTAAGGGGAGTCCTCGACTCACCACAGTTCACTGAGTGACAGTTCTAAGTTACAACGGCCCTGGAAAAAAAAAGTGACTTAGGACCGTTTTTCACACTTAAGACCGTCGCAACGTCCCCCAGGGTCAAGCGATTTAAAATTTCAGGCGCTTGGCAATGGGTTCATATTTAGGACGGTCACAGTGATCCACTTTGGGGACCTTCTGACAAGCCAAGTCAAAGCCAGATTCACTTAACAACCGTGTGACTTATTTGACAACTGTGATTCGCTTAATAACAGTGGCAAAGAAGGTCATAAGATGGGGCAAAGCTCACTTAACAAATGCTTCACTTAGCAACAGAAATTTTGAGCTCGTTTGTGGTAAGTCAAGGACCACCTGTATTTACAATTGGGCTGTTTTGCAGCCTTCTCACGATGCATTCAGATTCTCATTTTAAACTAAAGGGAAGCCCCCCCCCTCTGAATCAGTGTCACGCCCGTGGGGAGTCTGAATCCAAGGAGGAAGACGAACAGCTGATAACAGGGAGTGGGAGTGTGGCTCCGTTGGCTGTGGGAAAAACTGGGGAAGGGCAAAGTCTGGCTGGGCAGAGCAGGGGAGAGGTCGAACGAGGGAATTCAATGGAAGACCCAGGCCCACCCCCTCTTCATCCTAAGACACGCAGAGAGGAATGGAGAAGGGAGCAATGTAGGTTGTGTGGCTTACGGGGGAGGAAAGGGCCCTGATTCCCTTCATTAGCCACAGCTGGGAAGAGAGTTTAAAAGAGATGCAAGCTGAGTGTGGCATCTGCTGGGAGCAAACGTGACTTTATCTTGTGTTGACTTTAGTTATCTATGTTCCTGGTGTCCTCCCAACCGTGTTGAGTTATTCACATCTGGAATTCTTGCTCCTGCCCTGCCAAACTAATTACCTCATTTTGCCTTGATTGGACTTATAGTTACAGTTTTTGTTGACCATGTTTTGGATTTGATTCTCTGCAGCCAAAGGCTGTTCCTGGGAGTTTTTCTCCAGCCCAGAAGGTAACCAGAAGGTAACCAGGCAAAGTTGGAGCTTTCTACAGGACTTCTACGGATTATCTGACTGTGTTGCCTTTGTGCCACGCCCTTTTGGGTCATCACAATCAGTTTCAAAATATAAAGGAAAGAAAAAAAGAAATAGAAAATCTTTTTTTTTTTTTTAAAGTAGATTGACACAGATTTGTAGTCGTAGTCACATAAAATCAGCCTCTAGTCACAACAGTTGGGAATTGCAATCTCCAATTCATTAAGACTGCCGAGAAGCAACACAGAAGCTTTCAAAAAAAAATTTTTTATGGCGGAATAAAACCCTCTCTTAATTCTTCTTCCATTCTCCTCAGGAGGGAGTTCCTGAACACGGAGTACCGCAGTTATTTGTAATAAAAGAAATACACCGATAATAATTCTGTTTCCAGAATATTTTTTGTGGAGAATAGGCACAGCCAGTATTAAGTGAGACAAGGTTTTCTTTAAAAAATAAAAAAAAGGGAAGCTTTTGTAGATTTCAACTTGATTATTGACAAGAGTTTTTATAAAGTTTTCATCGCAATTTACTTTTGAACTAAAATTCTGCATTTCAGCTCTTTTTAAGGAGAGGAAAGGTAGAATGCAAACATCCCTGTTTCTTCAATTTTTGGATAATGCTGTGGAGAGGAGGGGGGGGGATTCAAATGCCAAACAATAAAAAAACTTTTTGGTTTTGTCTTCGCCTGATCTCTTCCTTTTTCTCCTGCTTTTCCAAAAACTGAAAAGGGGGCGATTTTAGGGCTTTGCCACTTTATAATGCAGGCCTGCTAATTTAAGCTTTCCTACTTAAGAGAGCAAACTGAGAGTGTTTTGATGTGGAAAATACAGATATAATAAATGCCATTTATATTCCTCAAAGAGCAGATTCAATTGAGATACAAGACTACTCTTTTCAACGATTTTATATATTTATTTAGCCACCAACCGCCTCTCCCCTATGTTTCAAAATCCTCCCAGTTTACGATACAGGTAGTCCTCCACTTACAACCGTTCATTTAGTGATCTTTCGAAGTTACAACGGGACTGATTAGGACCGTTTTTCACACTTACGACCACTGCAGGAAGAAAGGTTGTAAAATGGGGAGCAGAACTCATTTGACAAATGTTGTTCCCTTCACAACAGAACTGTGGGTTGTACATCGAGGGCTACTACCAGTGTTATCGGTGTCATTGAATGCTGGGACCCCCATCTAAGCCAGAGATCTGGAGAATAAGAGCTCAGGCTTTGCACACAGAAAAAGCATGTGGGGCTAAACTCAGACAAGCCCCCCCCCCCCACCAAAAAAGAACACAGACTCGTGGGATCAACACAGAAGGCAGCATTTACAACTCGACACAAGGCTTCCTCTGTTTGGGTGGCTGGGTGGAAATCCACTCCCCCTTCAGGGGTCCATGGGCCACGGGCAGCTGGCCAAGAATAAAAGTTTATCAAATCCCATCCTTTGGAGGCTCCATGACCTAGAAAGGAGAGGGGGGAAAAGGGTGTGTGTGTGTGTGTCGGCCCCTTCTATCTCTTGTTAAAAGATGCAATCTCCCCAAACTGAGCCCGCAGCCCTCCCCAATGTTTTTCTTCTGGGGTATCAAAAACATCTCTTTTATATTTTTTTTTTATACCATGCCATGTTCAAACCCCATTCTGATCTAAACTACAAATGTAGGGGAGATCTTCGGAATACTTGGTGAGAGAACACACACACACGTAGCGTTTTTGCCAGATTTTAAGCTCCAGGGTTAGGGAGCTCCAACTCTTCTTTCTCCCACACTTTGACAAGTTATGCGAAATCCCACCAATGGCTCTCCCTCTGCCCCACCACCCCAAACAAAACCTAGAATTGTAGGGCTGGAAGGGACCTCGGAGGTCTTCTAGTCCAACCCCCTTGCTCGAGGCAGGAGCCCTTATATTACTTCAGACAATCTCTTCTTGAAAACCTCCTGTGATGGAGGCAAGCGGTTCTGCTGATGTGAACTGTTCTGTCAGATTTCTCTTCGGTTCTGGGTTGGATCTCTCTTTAATCAACTTCCTGCCCTCAGGTGCTTTGGATAATAAGTTCACCTCCCTCCTTTTTAGGACAGCCCCCCAAATTCCTGGGATGCCCCCCACCCCAATCCTAATAGCTGGACTGGTTCCCTTCCTAACCAACTGCTTTGAATTTTCTTCATTATTAGAAATATTCACTGGATTTAAAAATAAAAAAAACAGCTGCAAATTCACTGGCAATAGTTTACGGGGTGCAGTTTTGGAGGACTATCCTCATCATACGTTACAGGTAGTCCTCGACTTACGGCCATAATTGGCCCAGAATGACAGTTGTGATTGCAGTCCCTAAGCCAACACGACAGTCATTAAGCGAATCCATTTTACCTAATGGGCTTTTTTTTGCTGGAAAAACAAAGCAGACGTCAGAAACTGTCAAAAAGCATTAAAGTGTGTGTGTGTGTGTGTGTGTGTACCCATCATAGACTTCGAAATCAGGTTGCAAATCACCTGTGGGTCCATCGTAACAGTCACCAAGCAACTGGTTGTAAGTTGAGGATTACCTGTAGTTCTTGTCTAGAAAGCTCTAATTTAGTGACTGGTCTTGGTGAGAGTCTATGCAATTTAGTTGTGTCAGTGAGCATTTCACGAGTGGGGAAAGCGTTGTGGCGAAATTAGCAGCCGGGCTGATAAAATTCTCTCTGGAGAAGGAAGAGACCAGGAGATCAGCCTCTTGAACTGTGGATAGTTAGATCTCAAGAACTGAGGTTCTTGCACTCGACCGTGCGTTGAACAGCTTGGGAGCTGTAGGAGGAATGGCAGAAACTGGAGGCCGAGTCAAAAGAGGAACCAGCCTAGAATCCTTACATAGCCATAAACGGACTAAGTCCAACCTCCTTGCTATTCTGTTGAGCCTTATCTAACTCCAAGCAGCTGCTGATTGTTAGTTGAGAAGATTCTTGCGCATAACCTTTCAGCAATAAATCAGTTTAATTGGATCTTAACATGTAGATCTGCTCTTGCAACAGACCCGCTAAGGAAACCAACGTGACCCGAAATCGTTATGCAGCCTTTATGGATACGACCTAAAGAAACCTCACTTTCTTATATACTTTTGGATACAACTAATTTACAACTTAAGAGAGATATTCTGAAAGAACAAAAGATACTCTGTCAGCTATCTTCATTTTGGAATTAAGTAGAACGGGGGGAAAAAACTACTATCTTAAAAGAATTTCAATTTAGAAGCCAAAAGCTTAACAAGATTGTGATGCAAGAAAGGATAATGTTTTTAGAAAGCAAAAGGATTTTTGTGTGTGTGACAAAAGTGTCTTTGGAAATGAAACTTCATCAGAATGCTGCTTATTATTATTGTTGTTGTTGTTGTTGTTAAAAATATTATTAATTTTACAAATAAGAAGGTAAAAGTAAGCTTATCCAAGTGTCCACTTGTCACCCCAGTGGAAATAAATGTAGTTTCAGTTTACTTTAGTTTTTGTTTATTTTATTGTCATTGAACCTCATACAACGAAATCAAACACCAGCTTCAGTGCACATCATGACCACGAAAATAAACACAAACACACATCCTTCACACGCCACACACTGAATTGAATAAATAACCCAATAGCCATGGTTATGCGGGAAGCCACATGCAAGCCACATCATTACCTTCTTGTGTGGTTTACCTGAGAATTGAGCCAGTAATTTGGTAATGGCGTGTAGTACGGACGGCGGCTCGGGAGCAAGCGGGTGAGTTTTCCCAAGACTGACGCCGGCGGGAACCAGCATCACGTCGACGGCCTGCTCAAGGCAGAGCGGTCTCTTCTCCAAGGCAGACTTTGGAGCGGACGCTGGAGCATCGGGCGGGAACTCACAGTACTGTCGGGAATGCCTCCCCCGGGGGGGAGAGAAGAGCGCAGGTGTCTCCATCTCGGCTTTCCTCCCCACCTCTTTGAGGGCTGTGATGGTGATGTGCTCGTGTTCAAAATCTGGCTTTGCTTGGGGCGGCTGCTGGAAGTAGGGCCACGCTCCTTGGGAACGAGCCGCCTTCAGCTCTGCCTCCGAGAACATCTCGGGGGATTCACCCCCTTTGGATTTTAAGCACTCCTTCATGAAGTCCATAAAACTCTCGCTGCCCAGCCCATCGGGGCACACCACCTCTTTGACGCTGCCCAAAGTGATCTTCCTCGAAGGGTCTTCGGCCTTGGGAGCCTTCCTCGGCACCTCCAGTTCCCCGGCATCGAACACCTGCTTGGCTTTAGAAGGTTCTCTGGAGGGCTGAGATGCAGGAGAGAGTCTCTCCGTAGGCTGGATTGCGTTGAACTCATCAGCAAATCGCCAACGGCTTTCCAAGGACTGGGAGGCCATTTGGTCTTCCTGAAGCTCATCAGATGCCTCCTCTTCCTCGTCTATGTATTCAATTTCTGCTTCAGAAGAGCCTGTGAGTTTGGAGAACCCCTGGCAATTCTCAACCACCACCTTATTCGGGAATGTCAGGTCATCTGGAGCATCTTCAATGACCGTGTCATCAGATTCTCCAGAGCTATCCGCATCGGCGGCTTCAGGCAAGCATGGATTTGGCCAGGAGAGCTCGGCTGTCATCTGGATGGCTTCCAGAGGAGCACTTTTCACTATAGCTACGGCTTGGCCAACCGTGGCTTGATTCTTTTCTACTTTTGGAGACGGCTTGCCTTTGGGGTGGAGGCTGATTGTCACAGGCTGGTGAGCCTTGCCAGTTTCCATATCGCTAGGCCTCGCCACCGGTTCTGGAACACCGCCGCTGGTTTCGGTGGACGAGGCCTTAAAGCCTGCGTTGATAAAGTCATCCGCCTTGTCTTCCAGGTCCTTGGGAATCAAGTCCCAGTTAAGCAGCTCGTTGGTGAAGCTGTGCATTTCACGGACACATTTGGAGACTTCCTCTAGAGCCGCCGTGGTGCCTGAAGACTGGCGAGAGAGCCCCGGTCCTGAGGGAGGCCGCCCACTGCTACGGGGTTTTGCCTGGAACTCGCAAATGCTATCTTCTGGGATGTCAGTCAACAGCTCCCTTTCGCCGTGTATCACCCAGTTGCTCCCGATCTCCTTGGAACTGTTGGTCAGGACCTCTTTGAACTCCGTATCAAATTCCAGTTGGTCAGCAATGACCTCAAAGGGAGATTCGGGGGAGTCTTTTTCCACGGGCGGCTCAACGGCGACCCTGGGAGACGCAGTGGAATGTGCACCGAGAATCTCAGAAGGAACCTTCTCACGTTCGTCTTCCGAGTTGGCCAACAGTGCAAAGGGGGTGTCTCCTTTTGACGCTCGTTCTGCTTCTGGCTGGCATCCATTCTGATCTGTCTTACCATCCAGAGGACTAGCTCCTCTGAAATTCTCCCGCGGAGGAGTCGCTTCCGTGATGGGGCCGCAGCTATGTATTTTGGATCCAACCGAAAAGGGCAATTCCATTTGGCGAGGAGATCCCAGCGATATGGTCTCTATCCTTGAAACTTCCTTGGTCCCTTGGACGCTTCCTTGTTTTGGTCCTTCCAAGACTTCCTCTGATTGGTCTTTGGGGAGAGCAGATTTGCCGCTGGCTTCCCTCTGATTCCCGGAATGTGTTAAATAAACTCCAGCTGATGGGAGAGAAGACAGGAAAGGAGCAGGGGACTGCATCCGGCAAGCTGAACCGGGCCCAGGAAGATTCCCCGATTTAAACGGGGATACAGAGAGAGAGAGAGAGAAGGACGCACACAGGATCGGCGACAAAATGCCACAATCAAGCAGGCAACATGCTCGTCACGAAACGAAAGCCACGATTCTACCCTACCAAATTCTGCGCGCATGCATAAGATTGTCCCCTGAAGGACAGGAACATCGTAGGGAGGCCGCAATCCATGTAAACGTAAAAAATAAATAAATAGTGAGCAACATTTAATTTCATGGGAGGGAGACAGCCGAAGTCAGCCAGAGAGAGAAAGGCAAAAGAAGAGATCATGCTGGGCAGGTGAACAGAAGAAGCCACCCCTGCCCCAAATGCAAATAAAACTGTCTCAACAGATTGTTTGAACAAGGCTCTCCAAACTTGACAGCTTTAGGACTTGTGGACTTCCAACTCCCAGAATTCCTGAGCTAACATGACTGGAGGAGGAGGAGGAATTCTGGGAGTTGAAGCCCACAAGTCTTCAAGCTGTCAAGTTTGGAGAGCCCTGTTGTAGAAGGTTGTCGGGTGCTTTGCAGGCCAGACGTTGTCGGAATGATACAACCTGGGTTTCCCCTTGCAGTATATCTTATTTCTACGCCTACTTTGGGATCAACGCTTACTTTTGTCTGATCTACCTTGTGCTACTCCTAAGGCAAATATATCATTACAACAGTTTATGGAGTGAAGGATTCAAAACTTCTTGCTTGCAGGTGTTTCATCACCAAACTATTTAACACCATCAGTGCTGGAAGGGAGTGAGATGCATTTGCTGCTTATTTACTATAGATAGTCCTTTACAACAGTTCATTTAGTGAACGTTTGAAGTCACAATGGCACTGGAAAAAGGGACTTACGACCGTTTTTTTCCACGTTTAACGACTGTGGCAGCACCCCCATGATCAAAATTCGGACATTTAGCAACTGGGTCATATTTACGATGGTCGCAGCATCCCCGGGGTGTGTGTGTGTAAGTGTCACCCAATCCCCTTTAGCGCCCTTCCGACAAGCCTAGTCAACGGGGAAAGCTAGATTCCCTTGTGACTAACGAAACTGCAGCGATTCACTTATAACAACCGTGGCAAAGAAAGGTGGTTGAAACGAGGTAAAAAGTCCACTTAACAGCCGTCCTGCTGAGCAACAGAAATTCTGGGCTCAATTGTGGTCGTAAGTCGAGGAGTCGCTGTATTGTTTCTTCCAGCTACAATCCTGAAAGATAACGGGCCAGATGACCTGGGGGGAGGGAGGGGAGGGGAGAACACAGGTAGAACACCTGCTTTGCTTGTATAAAGTTTCAAAATTCATGTCCAACATCACCAAGGCCAGGAAAGAACTGAGCAACCTGGAAAAGTAATTCTCAACTTGCAACCGTTCAAAGTTATGACAACCCCACCCCGCCCAAAAAAACTATTTACAACCTGGTTTTGAAGTTCTGATGTTGTTCCCACCACCACAAAGGTCACATTGACTGTGTTTTGGGAGCCCTTACAAACGATTTGCAACATATCATGGTCTAATGACCACGATTTACAACGCGTTGGCCAGAAACCGGCGTTTATTCCAAGTTTCTTGCGGTAAATGCCGATTGTGTATGAGTTCACTTAACCACCAAATGCTCATTTAACGATTGCTGGAGGGGGGGGGGAATGGTCGTAAAGTCAGGTCTGCTCACCTGGTGCCCTGATTTATGACCGTCACGACTTAAAAATGGTAATTGCCAGGCTTAACTACAGTTGTAACTCGAGGACGACCCGTATTGGAGATGGTGATGCAGTGGTTAGAAAGCAGTACTGCAGGCTACTTCTGCTGACTGCTGGCTGCCAGCAGCTCGAACCTCACCAGGCTCAAGGTTGACTCAGCCTTCTGTCCTTCTGATGTGGGTAAAATGAGGAGCCAGATTGTTGAGGGCAAGAGGCTGACTCTGTAAACTACTAAGAGAGGGCTGTGAAGCGGTATAGAAGTCTAAATGCTATTGCTATTACCCTCCCTCCCTCGTGGTTATAATGCAATATTTCAGGCTAACTCTGCCAGCAGTTCAATCCTGACCAGCTCAAGGTTGACTCAGCCTTCTGTCCTTCCGAGGTGGGTAAAATGAGGACCCAGATTTTTGCGGGCAAGAGGTTGACTCTGTAAACTGCTTGGAGGGCTGTGAAGCACTGGGAAGCGATACGTAAGTCTAAGTGCTATTGAGCCAAACAGATCCCAAATCCAAACATCTATTTTCTCATGAATGCCAAGAAATTCCACTCCCCAAGCGGGAACATCCATTTCCGGACATGACCCAGCTGCAGCTTTCAGAAATCCCAACCGTAATCCTAAACTATCTAGAAGGCGCTAGATTAGAAGAATACCCAGAATCAAGGCAACTGAAGTTCCAAGCCAAAAAAAAAATTAGCTGGACTAAATTCAGGGAAGCTCATTTTTCCTGGGTGTGGGCAGGGATTATCAAAGTGGCATGGTGTGCCAGCTCCTGAAGGCATCATCCCCCCCCCCCCCCACACACACACGGGGGGAAAAAAACCCACATCTTTTTGGTTACGCAGGAGATTTGTCTTCCGAAATCACCCACAATACAGGAATTGGCAGGCTGTTTTCTTAAAACAAGCGCAGGGAAAGGTGCAGGAAATATTAATGTGGGGTTGTTTCCTGAGCTTTGGGTGCTTTTCTTTAAGACATTTCACCACCCAACTAGGTAACGTCATTGGCGGTACGCGAGAATGGGGTTTGCTCTCTCAAGGTTCAACCCCAAGTTACAAATATTCTCTTCAATCAGGTATCATGCTTAAGGAATCTAGGAACTGTGTTCTCCAGGAGTTAAAGGAAGATTATGGTCAGCTTTTCCCCCCCTTTAGATTTAAAAGATAAAGGCAATTTTTGCAATCTTAATACACACCACCTATCACTAACATCTGATTGCCCAATTGCACCATTGATCAATGGGAAGCCAGCGGAAAACGTGCTCCAGCTTGCAGGCACTTCTAGTGTGACCTTCCCAACACCTTTAATATTTGCAGTTGAACATGAAGTCTTTAGTGTTCGACCCTTGAAAACTGGAAACACATCTGTGAGCCGAACTCTCAGAACAAGGCAACTCAGCCTCAACGTACATTTTGGTTATTTGCAGAAGCACCTCGCTTCCAAACCCTTCCATCTGTCGAAAACATCCGGGCTAAAAAGATGCACGGGAGACCCGAAAAGAAACTCTTCTGACACGCCAGAGAAGCTTAGCCAAAAAAATCTTCGCTTCTACTCTCAGCAGCCACACAATCTCAACAGGCCAAAGCTTTTCTGTACTAGCCTTAATGAAAGGGCTCGTGCTTTTCAAAATTGTGCTTTCTGCAGGGATAATGAGTGGGGTTTCTCCCAGAAGTACAGTACATTTTGGAAAGAAAGAAACAAAAAAAGAAACAAAAAAAGAAGAAAGAAAGAAAGAAAGAAAGAAAGAAAGAAAGAAAGAAAG